AGTTTGATTGGGGCCATGTTAGGAGTCTTGCGACGGAGATGCTGTGTAAGAGAATTGTTCCTTTGCGTGTATGTCTTTCAAACAGGATAAAGACCTTGGGATAATATCGGATCGATATGTTCTCTCCCTGCAAGTGCATATGTCGACCACGGACAGGTTTGCTTATGCTTTTGGACTGGCCAGTTCAATCGCAGGTGAGGGATATGGACTATAGCACAACAAGGCTCAGCTTCTCCTCAATCAGACACTCGAGAATTAATATTGTCAAACAGCAAAGCTGTCCGGTTTCAAATCTCCGCACTGACACTTTTTGCGGAGTTGTCAGAAAGGGAAACACAGGCTGGCAGGCGGGACACCATGTCCTGGAGGGCCCCTTTTTATATATACGTCGTGAGAAGCCGCAAGGACGAAGCAACCAAAACACAAAAATTATGCATTCTGAGGAGCGTCGTTGAGACCGTCCGTCTATCCCCTCTCCCCCTCAAACATCTCGGTGGTGGTGACAGTGGTGGTGATGATGACAGTGACGATCCTAGGCGACAAAGCCATATAACCGCGGTCGAAAAAGCATCGAATCAGGCCATTGGGACCCCCTCCCCGGCTGGAAGGGTGAGTTGGAGATGGTGATGCAACCATGGTTGTTTGTCTGCCGAGGCCCAAGAAAACAAGGTGATGGTGAATAATGAAAAATACACCATATACGTTACCTCTTATCACTCCATATGCGGATCTGGATGTGGGATCGCCGTCAGCTGAGTCGAAACGGCACCTAAATACACTCCGCTCATGCCGATTGACTCTGCCTCTTTTCCCGAGCTATTTCTTACACTGCCAGCCTTGTTCCCCAACTATCACTAGGCTAGATCCAGACTAGGCTATCCGTAAAGAGCACAAGTAGGCAATCCGGCTGCTTTGCCTTCAATCACACTGATTAACCTGTTCATAACGACCCCTTCACGCGACCTAAATAAGCACCCTTTTCTCTGGTTCTCGACACGGCCTTTTATATTACTGACCTCATTGTCATCCTAGCCAGGATATCAGCAGCCAAAGGCAGATCAGTCAACATACCCATCTTGGTGTCCCGATTGAGCGACTCGGAAAACTGGCTATCCGGAGTGCACGATCTGCCCACAGCAGGGCCTTCTCTTTTGCTTCTCAGAAAAACCTAGGATCAAGTCTACGGGTTTTTGGAGTTTGGTCCTGTACGGGCCTGACGGGGTCCTAGTAGCCAACAAGCTTGATCGATACCCGTTGGGAGAGCGAAGCGACCTTGGATATACAGATGGAACGCCATTGAAGGAGTGTGATGGCAAATTCGAGATTTTAGTCCAGCCGGAGGATGTTCCGCCGCCAGAGAAGCACCTCAACAAGTGAGTTTCTAAGTTCATCTGCAAGAAGTTGTTGTTGGCCATGGGATCCCAGCAGCTGGCTGCCTGGACCTGCTGGTGGAGGGTATAATCAGCTTCACACGTGGGTAAAACAGTCACGGCTCTTGTCGAAATGCAGGACGCCGTCGCTAATCGTTGTGTGTCAGTCGGCTGTTTGCTCCTGCCAACGAAATGTGTGATGGATCCTACATATATCCTGAGGTGAAGGTGATTGATGTGATCACTGAATAGAACTTGGTCCTGGTCTTTCTGGGGAAGGGCAACAATTGGGCTCCAGTAGTGGCTTGTGGTCAATGCGTCCGGTCACGAGGCTGACAAGGAAGTTACAGCAAAAACATAATGTCGACAGAGTGGAACTGTCGAAGTAGAATTCTTTGGGGCAGTGGCCCTTGGATAGCACTTTGATTGAGCTGGTCTTTTGATACCTTAGTTGAACAGCAAGCCTGCCAAAAACAGTCGCGTGTCCACGCTATATTTCTTCAGAGTTACCTACTAGGTAGTTTTCTTCTCTCTATTCAATCCGATTTATCGACTTCACTATCAGGGCATTCTCCACTGCGGTGGCAGCAGCTCGAAACCCGGTTTCTGGCGTCCGTGACCGGTCGACAATTGTTTGTACCCCAAGAAAGGTACGGTATAATCTACTGAGTCAACCAGAAGAATACTGCAATTGTTGGAAATATGGGTTAACTTGCCAGTCAGTATCGCGATCTATGGTTGGAGATCAGTCCGCTGATTGAGCTCAAGACCCCGTGCGAGCCGCAGAAAGTCTGTCAGTTAGAAGTACTCTACGATACAAGCACCTACATCCCCTCAATCTAGTCAATCATTCGGGCAAGAGTCTGACATGGTTGCTGCACCCGGGGGGGCCCGCTGGCGGGTGTTGCGAAGAGCAAGTGATCCCCGCAAGCGCTCCCGCACCGCTTAACGGTCATATCTTGGCGGAATAGCCTATGTGCTACTGTAGCTGAAGATCAAGATCAAGCATTACCTACAGGCCATCTCAGGACCACAGCCCTTTCAGACAGTATAAACTGACAGATATTGACTATGTCCGGAGCTAGTTTGCCCTCAGGAGATCCTCTTGAATACATGTGCCGACGCCTACTTCCAACACGTCTTTCAACGCATGCCAGTCCTTGATCGAGCAAACTTTGCACTGATAGACCTTCAGTGACCCTTCAACAAGCCACCTACATGGTGGGGGCAATGCTCCGGCACGCTAGGGGGGTGGTTTTGGCCGACAACGAGAAATACTACTATAGAGCTAAAACACTGATCAACACCAACTATGAACAGGACCTCGTCAAGGTTCTAAAAGTCCTGTCATTTATTCAACTCGAAATATCGTTGGACCAGTAGTGCTGACAGCGGGTTTGTGCGTGGCATTGGTTGGGCGTAGCGACTTGATTGTTGCACCAATTAGGCCTACACCGCAAAGCCGTCTGTGCTACATTAGCGAAGCCTGGTACAGCTCACCGGATCACCTGGGGCCCCTTTGTAAGTTTATCATGAATTTGGCAGACTCACGTCCTCACAAAAGAATCCAGATTTCAGATAAAATGGTGTCAGCTGGACTCTGTCGGCCTACTAACATCAGGGAAGATGAATTTGACGTGCAACCCCCGAACGAGGAAGATTTTGATGTACCGGATATCCAAGAAATTAGCAAAACTGGCATCCTGAGTCGAATATTGGACCTTTTCCGACGGACTGAAAATACTCAACGAGAGGTATGTTCACCACCTGGGCTCTATCACATTTTAACCTCGTTAGCTTTGCAGCAGAGAGATATCTTCACATCACTTCAGATATGCATCTGAGATATACCAGAACACGTGCGCATTTTTGATTTGAACGGCCACCGAAGATACCGACGAGACGTTTATGAGATTCATCTCAAATACTTCGCCACCATCATCACTTTCATGCATTTGTTCAATGACCAAAACCCCTCAATCTGTCCCTAACGTTGCCTGTTTGGTGGCTTCTTCGCGTACCACACGTTTGTATTACGAGATAGGTTGCCAGGACGATATTAATTACCTTCTCGGTATTTATATGTGGCTGTTTACGACGGATGCAATGCTACCACTTATACACAACGCCGCGGGAAGCATATCAGAGCCCGACTCACTTTCTCCTAGGCTTAACTTGCTAGAGGGCGCCGGTTGAACAATAGCCCTCAACCCACCCATTTCAGACAGGGCGATGGAGGACTTGGGTTGGATTTGCGAGGAGTTTTCCGAATCGTCATCCGGATATGCTTTCACCGACTAGCCTCAGACTTTTCCCAACGTCTCCTAAGGTCTATGCGTCAGTGGTGCCGTAGCATGCAGTGAATATCATCACGACTTTACTGACGCCCGAGACACTATGCTGCTATGTTGCCCATCAGCCGGCAAACATTTTTGCCGAGCGAATATTCTCAAAATAAGTTTTCGGAGGGGGCGACGCGGGTTGCGAATCTTGACGAGACAGATGGACACAATGCAGGGTTGTAACCCTTGTGTTAAACCCTGGCTACTGTGGTCACCGCACTAGCTTGTCACCATGTTAGGAAGTGGAAAGCTTCTAGAGAAGCGAATAGAATCTCCAGCACACAACCAACGCCCGGTCCGTTCCCAAGGTTCAAGGTTCGACCGACTCAGCCCCAGCAAGGCTAAGTGTCATCAGCGGCAGGTCTATCGTTGGACGGTCTCTCTGCAAAGATGAGGCACCGATGAGGTACCACGCGTCCGAAAGACGTGAATTGCGAAATCACAATCTTTTTCTAGCGATGAGGGCCGTGTCTCCATCCTCCAAACTCTCGTCACAGCGCATATTCGGTGCTGTTTGGTTGTGGTCGGCATTCGGCAGGAGTCTGGCTACATCCTGGTGACGGCAGCCTTGACATTTGATTTCCATGCGGCCAACAAGCAAGTCAAAGCGGGAAAGGAAATTATTCCGAGTCTTCCCTGATCTCAGCACTCGTAATGATGCCAATTGCACTGGAAAGAAGCAATCTAGAAGCGTTTGGTTCTTCTAGTACATTAGCAGCAACCTCGATAGGAAATCGAGGCACGGGAGGAATTCGCCACGCCCCCCTTGAAGCCGACTGCAAGAGGCCAGGTTGTTGATTGAAGAGAGTTCGAGCTCGATAACAAGTAGAAGATTCATGAAATGTAGTTGACTCCGGCGTTATTCCCGCGGGGATCTCCCGTTTGCTGAACAGGTGCGTTGAATCGTGCCCACACAACTCGTCGACCCGTCGCGAGGCTGGCTGAGCTGGATGTCCGCACTAGCCTAATTAGGCTAGACTGTATATTGGCTCACAAGGCTGTGGCAACCTGTCCTGCTGTCGCCTGTTTAAACCCTCGCTATCACACAGATAGATTTCTCAATCAATCAACCAACCCATTCCTGACCCTGAGATTGGCTCAACAGGTAGACCCAATCGTGGCTATGGGCCGAAAAATCATGTGTACGAGGTAACACGTGAGAGCTTGCTGCGCCAGGTGGCTGTGGTGGTCAAGGAACAGCACTGCCACCTTGAGATTGCTAACATAATGGCACCGTTGGAATTATTCTGCAACACCGACCTGTCTTGACCTTCTTCAGTCCGAGAATATGTCTACAGTTGACGCCTTCCAACACCGTCCGCTCGATTTGACAGAGCCTGGGGTACGGGTATTAGATCTCTTACCGCTACAAGCTGATGGCGCCATCAGGTGCAGACTACGCCACGATGTGCTTGGCCCTAGTTTACAATTCTCTGCTGTATCATATGAGTGGGGGAGCCTCGTGTCAGGAAAGCATGAGATTTACATCGATGACATGAGTTTCGAGGTTCCCCACAACCTCCTCCTGTTTTTGACGGCGCTCCTCCATATCTACTCCATTGATGGATACAAAAGCCTCTGGATCGATGCTATTTGTATTGATCAACTGAATATTGAAGAGAAGAACCACCAAGTGCAGCAAATGAAGAACATATATCAGATGGCCACCAATGTTTTAGTCTGGCTCGGACCTTCAGATGACAAAATTGACCGGCTGTTCGATTTTCTGCAAGACCTGTGCATTCCGAACTCAGCAGAAAATGCTGCCCGGTCAGTCGCACAGTTGACCCTGGAGCAATGGAAACATTACCAAGACAAAGTTTTTGGTGCAGGAGTCCCTGTGTGGGAGGCTTGTGAGGCATTGTCTAAGCGCACTTACTGGAGCAGGACGTGGATTCTACAGGAGATATTACTTGCAAAGCAGCCATTGATTTTCTGCGGCGGCAATAAGGTACCGTGGCAAGCGTGGGCCATCCTACTTGACACACTAGACAAAAATCCCGTCGAGTTTGTCAAAATCTGGGCACCGGAGATCTGGGGATCGCCCGCCATGTCTGTTTCTCGGGAATGGTTCGCATTGATTGATGAGGGCCCGCGCGAGAATTTAATTCAGCTGACTACGGCATTCAGAAAGAGCGAATGTTCGATTTTACAAGACAAAGTTTATGGCCTACTTGGACTGCTCTCGGGTGGATCTAAATTAATTGTCGACTACGATCGTGAGATTGAAGACTTACTCCTCGATCTGTTAGAAATAACAACATCTGACACCACCATTTCGGATGTTGAAAACTTGCTGGAAATGTTCGAGATCAACAACTTGTCCTCCATCCAAATGGCGCTGGATTGCGTCTACACCGGAAAGTGCCCGATTGCTCAAATATCCGGTTGGTTGAAAATCGGTGCGACATTAAAAGGCACAGATGCAATGGAAGATATTTCATCCCGAGCGCACTCGAGACAGCTTCGGTGGTGCAACCAGCTGGAAAGTCAACAACTGATCTGGAGATTCAAGAGCCCCTCCGAATTAGAGAGATGGAATTCTGGAAGGTTGGAGGACCTGCAACCCCGGTTTCCGAAGCCCAATCTCTTGACCCACGCACGTGAGGGTAAGGTGATGAAATGTCAATGCCCTCGGTGTTGTGCCAAGCTCAACACAAGTACTGTTGGTTCAAGACTCTTTAAGGTGCTCTCTGCCTTGTCATACAAAGATACGGCCCGAGATCTCGAGGGATATCCGGCAGCACTGCTCTATCGCAGGCTTTCTGGCAAAGAGACATACTTCGCAACGCTAGTCAACGTGCGGGAAACCTCGATCATGCTCTTATTTTACGATCCTGTCTCCGTGGAAGAAATCCAACCCGCCAGATCTGCAACAGGATCCCTGGCGAGAACATTCAACCTGATAGCTCATCAACACTCGCCCCTCTCGCTGGAATCAGCCTCTCCCCTTGCTGAATGTAGGACAATTCAATTGGCAAAAGCGGGCAGGATTTGAAGCATTATGATAAAGGGCGCAGTGCTCTAGCACGGGGGGATAGGCCTTCTCAGGATCTTTCCGAAGTGGCTGGATGGCCTTTGGGCACTCCGAAAAGGATGATGCCGAGAGTATTTTCTGCTTTCCCAAATCCCTGGTCTTCATTGAAAAGTGAAAAAGTGACCACGCCCCATCCAGGTACAGGCTCATAAACCAAGACCGGAGCCATGACAGGCATCGGATTTGGGCTTGTTTGGTTTGTCATAGTCGTGCTGGTCCGGACCGCTGAACCTTCACAACGTGGACCGGCGTTCACGAACCCCGGCCTTCGATTATGGAAAGTCGGTAACAAACAGTGTACTGCGCCCGCCGTCTCTAATTCTTGAGCACCATATTGTAACTTACGGTTAGGTAGTACATACGTTGTTGCATTCTTCTATCGTTGCGTTATCATGCCTAGGTTGTGAGATGGTTTGTTAAAAGTTGAGCCCAGCGCCATCTCAATCTGGCCGACCTTCTCCTTCCTTCCCACTTTCAAGTCCTCGATTTCTCGACGTCGTGCGACAAGCCCTGCGCGAAACCCGAAACAAGCCCACATCACATAAATCCCTGCTTCGCGATCGGATTTACAAGATTCGAAATCATGTCGTCGCCGTCCAAAGTCCCAGACCGCTACATGATCCACGTTACTCTGTACTTTGCCCCCGAACACGTGCCCGTCGCCCTGGAAGCGTGCAGAAGCCTCTTCGAGGAGGCGTGGCAGGACCCCCGGCTGGATTTCTGTCAGATTGTTCAAGACGCCGACGAACCTGGCACGATTCGCATTCAGGAAGCGTGGAATGGGTCGAGGAAGTATCTGGAAGAGGTATGTACCGAGTGCCGAGTGCTCGCTTTTCATTAATGAAGGAACCCTCATCTCCGTCTCGGGGGAAGGAGCATGACAAAGCATAAAATGATATAAAATGGCATGATACATAGTTTCGGCATCTCCCTCGTCTACGTGGGGAAGTGATGATTTGTGAGTTGCAAGTTTGATCCTTGTACTAATACTTGGGACGACGGGGATAGGTTCAATTATACCAGCCCTACTATATTCCATATCTGAAGGCAACGGAACATCTATGGGTCAAGCCGCGTAAGTCAATATGTGTTCCTTTGTTCCACTCCCTAGAGGTGATGTAACAATCTTGGCTTCTGCGTTGTCTGAGATGCATAACGCGGGGGAGCTGTTCCGCGATATATGCTATGTGGTATACGATAACAAGGCCACTGCTGACTTCTCCTCCCCATTTCACATATCAGGTGTAATTCAGTTTTTCGAACGGTTATCCGGGTGGACGTGGATCAAGCCATCGTTTGAAAAGGATGAGTTGCAAGCTTCTTAGCTTCCAAGTTCCCGTTCCGATGGAATGGGTGGAAATTAAATGACGAAGAGAAGATGAAAGAGCTGCCAGGAGGAGCCGCAGTACATGGTGGTCAACAGTTGAGAAGGACCGCGTCTTGCTTGTATGTACTGTACGAATGGGAGACCGAGCTACTAAGGGCGATTATTCAAACACTGCATAAACTCACGAGGCAAAAGCACATGTATATGTCGGAATCAAGAATCTTACTTCCACGAGGCATCAACGAGAACTACTGCAGCTTTTGTCGATTGGGCTGGAATTGAGTACCCAATAGAGTCGAGCTGACTGACCTCTCTCTGTTCTCCTTCTAGGTTCTTAGGCTCGTCTCTCGTCTCTCCAACTAGAATAGCTCATCTTTTCTGTCGGCAGTTTCTGACCAAGAGCCTCTGCTCGATATACAATATGGAGTAAATGCACGCTTCTCCTTCTCTACCCCTTTGTTCCCTCTCAGAGTCACAAAAGGCCGAAGCCCCCACACCAATGTACGGACGGAGCATTCAGACCTTCTCGCGTAGAACAACCTCCGTCTCTTCCTTTCCCGCCACACCCATACTCTGTCCGATACGATGATGGTCCTCAACCACGACCTGTCCGTCGTCCTTGACGGTGATTTCGGTCGAGTATATCTTAACTTCGTCGGTGTCGCCAAAGATTGCGGCTAGTTCTTCCAAAGGCACAGATCTCGTCTCCGGGACCCAGTACCAGTAGAAGACCGAGCCGACAGAGAGAACGCAGATGAAAACCTACCCAGGAATTCGTTAGTTATCATTTCCTTTTTCTTTTTGTCCTTCCCAGGCCTTGTGAACATGGTATATTACATGGCACAATGCCATGGGGGGCGTGGCAGTGTTTGGAAAAGACTCACCAACAAGAATCTCCACCCGATATTCTGTAAAGCAGTGGGTGCAACTTCGAGATAGAGTAGGTTGGCGGCACTGTTGACGAAGACGCAAAAACAGACTCCCTTTGCGCGAATGTGCGTCGGGAAGATTTCGCAGTAAAAGGGGGCCCCGCAGGCCTCGACCCCCAGGCAGTAAAAGATGACAATAAGGTACAAGGCTGTCACGGCCCAACCGAGTCCGACTTTATTGGTTGCCGTGGGAGCGTAGACGGCTTCCATGGCAGTGAGAATTACCAAGGCCGCGATGCACCCGACGAAGCCCGTCATGATGAAAGGCTTGCGTCCGAAACGGTCACATAATGTGACGCCGATGATTGCCGCGGGGATAGAACCTATCAAAAGAGTAATAATATGGGTCAACTAAAGACCAGACACAAGAATGACAAAAACTCTACGGTGTCGGGTGGAACAGTTCGAGCTTACCTGCAATCCAACCGCATTGAAGAATCAGACTTTGTTTGACACTGAATCCCAGAGCGGAGTAGAGGGATGGACCCTACACAAGGTGAATTCAGATCAGTATCTTTCTTTTCCCTGTGTGGTGTCCAGCAGGTTTGACCCCTCTTTAAGAGGCCAGAATTGGCAAAACTTACATAGGCAGCAGCAACTAACACGGCGGTGCTCTGAGCCAAAAAGGTTACCAGACACGCCATGAGCATTCGTTTCCTGTACGAGGGTTTCGAAAACAGATGGATCCACGAGGAGTCGAGGGTCCTGTCGAACTCGAGCTGCATCTGCATCTGGAAAAACTCCTCCTTGACGTATTCTTGGTTCTCCTCCATCGGGTCATGGTGCAGTTTGCTGACAATCTGCCATGCTTCTTCCGCCTGGTCCTTGAGGAGCAGGTAGCGAGGGGATTCGGGGGCCCAGTAGAGCACGGCTAGGAGGGAGGTGGATGGTACTAGAGACAAACCCAGGGGCGTTCTCCATTGCACGTCCGGATTGGTGGTGTAGGAGAAGGCTAGACCTATCAATGCTGCGGTTGTGTAGCCGACGGCGATGGCCACGCCGGTCAGACCGGTGAAGAATCCTCGGGTTTCCGCCTGGGAGAGTTCGGCGATGTATGTGGATGCTGTTTGTGAGATAGAGCGGTTAGTATCTCTTCTTTCCTTTTCCTTTTCTTTCTCTTCAGTTTCTCCATAGGAATGATACGTATGACGTACTGGCAGCTATGAAACTGACTGCTGCAAATCCATGGATCGTCCTCGCAGCAATGAACATGCCGATATTCTGAGATGCTGTGACCAAAACACCACCCAAAGTGTAGATGGCCACAAGGGCAATCATTGTCGGTTTTCTCCCGACTCTATCGAGCGACCAGCTGGTGGCTAGGACGCCTACGCACCCTCCGGTCTGTGGTAGGAGTGCAGATTAGCTATGACGAAGGACGGTTGATTGTAGAAGATGACAGGAGCCAATACATACGCAGAACAGGCCAACCGTGGCCCCAACCAACGCCGCTTGGTTGGAGGCTGGATTTCCCTCAGCATCGATTAGATGCATATATGATAGAAAGGTTGGCTGGCCTAGGGTCGTGGAGATCTGGATGTGATTTGCAGATAGTCAGTTCAGACTGCTTTTTACTATATCGTGCACAATAAACGGATGAATAGTGAGTAGCTTACGATCGATGCTGCATAGCCATAGCAGAAACTGCCCAGTGACAAGAAAAAGCAACACCAGAAAGTGCGCCAGTTCAGTCTCTTGTGCGTAGCGGAAAACGTCATCTTGCTGTTTGTGTGTGTATGGGATTGTGATCGTGACCTTCCGAGAGAAGACTGAAGACTTGGAATTTTTGAGCTTTCAACATGTTGAATCGCTAATCACCCCAGATTTATATCAAACATGTTGGTCCACAACTTCTCCGGTTTCGTGATCTAGCCCCTCTCCCACAAAGCATCCAGACGGCCCAGGCCCGGACACCAGATTCTCCAGAGCTAGTTCACTCCCCTGTTTCCTCGTGCTCCTGACCCGCATTAAGATGAGAGAAAAGGATGCATAAAGGCTAGCCGGTATCATGGGCCATAGACCGGGGAATTCGCTTCGGTGTTCGCGAATCCCGCTGCGACCAGTTTGTTTCTGGCTTACAGAATTCCCGGTAGCCACGATACACTCAGCTACCTAGGCAACATAGTTAGCGTATTGCTGGTAACCGGATTATCTTGGTTATTTTACTTCCATCTCTGCTCCGGAGGGATTCCCGGAAACATACATGATCAAATTTAAACGACTGATTCTTTTTAAAGAGTGAGAAAATGCCTTATGCGGTTCCCGCCCAATCTGGGCCAGGCTGAATCCGTATTCTGAAAACATTCGCCGTACACGAAGGACATTTCAATCAACTAACCTGCTTCAATTTGAAATCAAATAAGCCAGCCATAAGCTGGTAGGATTGTTCTTTCTTGCAACCATCTGGAATCAGGATCAGTTCAACCGCCTTTCTGCTCAGCAAGTATGAAGGCAGAAAGACACAGGCTGGGAATTGCGACGGTCTCATTAGGCTGGCATCCATCCCACACGCTCGAACGAAAACTGGACGCCATATCCAAACAAGGGTATGAGGGGGTAGAGATCTATCACCCGGACCTTGTCACCCTGGCAGAGCAACACTCTCTAACGCATTTGGAGGCGGCATCGAAAATCGGCAACATCTGCAGAGACAGAGACATCTCGATCGTAGCTCTCCAGCCACTGTTCAACTTTGCAGGGATGCTCACGCCCTTGGAAGCTCGACTCGAATCCGCGCGTGAATACATCTCCCTGGCTCGTGCTATGGGGACAAAGATGATCCAAGTTCCAACCACGTACGAAATGAATTCGACCGGTGACGAAAATCTTATTGTTGCAGAGCTCCGCGCGTTGGCGGATTTGGGGAGAGAATCACCAGAAACCGGCGAAGAAGAGATCACCTTTGCATTTGAAGCGTTGGCGTGGGGGGTGCACCATGCACAGATGGACGATGCGATTCGAATCGTCAAGCTCGTGGATCGACCGAATTTCGGTCTCTGTCTCGACACATACCACGTTATCGCGAGGGTTTGGGCAGACCCGCACGCATCCTCCGGCAAAGGCACAGGTGTCGCTCCCGGAGGTTATGCGGCGCTCAAGTCAACGCTGGACCGATTCATGGAGCAATGTCCGGTGGAAAAGATCTTTTATCTCCAACTCAGTGACGCTGAAAGACTAGAGCAGCCACTTGTTCTCGGCCATGAGGCCTACAAGGCCGAGTGGGCACATTGGGATGCCACCATGCATTGGTGTGTCTGGGGGAGATTATTCCCATACGAGACTGAGTATGGCGCCTACTTCCCCTTGGACTATATTCTGCGACTTTGGCTGGTGGAAAAAGGGTGGAAAGGCTGGGTCAGCATGGAGATGTTTCATCGGGACGAGGACAAGGAGTCGGTTGGTCCCGAAGTCCTCGCGGAAAGAGGATATAGGTCATGGATGAAGATCAAAGATCGCTTTGGTTTGGAATAATGGCTCCGGGGTATCGAGAGAGAACTTGAGTTCTAAACCGAATTTCCTGTTGAAGAGCTGAGTCAGCAGTGAGATGTTAGACACAGCCTTGCGGAAGACCGACCACAAGTCGCACGAGCGCGGCTCACCACATTCATTGGGCACCTGGAAGGAGTCACGGGGGAACAAGGCTGAGACACGTGACATGCCCTGTTGGCTCTGCTCGCTCTATCGGCTCTGTCAACAGAGCGCACAGAGCGCACAGAGCGCACGCACTATATATACACCCTCACCACCCTAGGTAGTTACACTCTCTTCGTAGCCAACTCATATTATCTACTGAACTATACAGTTCTTAGTAACAGAGAACTCTGCTCATACCTTATATCTTCCACAACCAGCTCATGCTATCTTAGGATCGTTACTGAGAACACTAACCCAGTTAGGATCAGTAGGGAACCTTAACACTTTGGCTACCACCCCCGTTGCGGAAGGCAACCCATATGAGCAGACCGAACCGATCCACCTCACCCATAAACGAACTTACGCAACGTACTGCACGGCTATCACTCAACGACAGCATAATGTCAATAACCTCGAGTACACTAAGACCAACACCAAGCACCCCAAGAACTACGGCCAGTGCACCACCACCGGCGTATGGGATAAGTATAGTAAGCTCATCAAGAGACGTACTATTAATAATTAGTAAAGGAAAGATCGGTAATTCACCTAAGCCCTTTAACGACGTAGAGTCTAAGCTTATACCCTTTATTCACCATGTGAATATATATATTCTAATGAACCTCACCGACTTCTAGAACGACTTATAAAAGATTCTATTTATAGGAAGCTATTTTAAAGAAGATACTAAGATATAGCTTAGACCCTTTATTAAGAACTATATGGAGAACGAAGGAGACGATAGAGAAGACGAAACTATTAATCTATTCGAAACATTTATAGAGTTTAAGGAAACGATGAAGCTAGTGTTTAGAGTAAAGGATGAGGAAAAGAAAGCTTAAAAGAAAATAGTGGGTCTCCGATAAATAGAATTAGTTTAAGAATACGCGACGAAATTTAGGACACTAAATATAGCTCTAGGATAGTAGAATAATATCACTATTTCGATCTTTAGAGAAGAGCTAAAACTAAAGATTAAGTGAGAACTACGACACCTTAAAAAGACTACCCTAGAAGACTAAATCGCTATCGCTATTAAAGAAGATAACGATATTAAGGAATATCGATAATAAGAACTCTATAACCTTAGAAAGATATAAGCTACGAAGACTTAATAGATAAATACTTAGAAAAGACATAAACCGTACTACGGACCCTAATCTATAGATCTAAGCTAGGCGTAGAAACGACGAAATAACTTTAGGAAGAATAAACTAAAGAAATCTTCCGGGAAGAAGAAAGAGATCATCTACTATAGCTACGAAAAGCTAGGACATTACGTAAAGAAATGTAAATAAAAAAAGAAGTAGGTCGCTACCGTAGAAAAGTAACTAAAGTAGGAGAAAATCGCTAAAATAGTCCTAGAAGCTAATATAGCTAAAGAAGGATATATACGTCTAGGCGACTCTATAAATTAAGGGAAAGCGATTATCACGGGAATCACTGCCAACAAAATCCATATCCGAACTAAATACTGAATAAGAAAACCATACTCCGACCCCTACTATTTACGGCGAATTATAGAATATAATCACACGGTGTACGAACTAAATAAATTACCGATAGATATAGAGATAACCTTTAAGATTTATATATACCGAAGTTAAGAATGTTCATAAGCTAACATTCACTCGGATTTTATATACGCTCACTAAGAAGAAAATTCATAAGGACAACCATTAATCTAGATTTCTTCCGATGATACGACGCCACTCGAATATAATATAACTAACTCTAAATATAATTTAGACCCTAATTATACTAGAGAAAACCAAACGTAGAAATCTAAAGAATCCTTCACGAAGAAAGAGATTAGATAATTAATTCGAGAAGTCACTAAACGAGTTACAGCGACGGTAGCGCAAACGGAATAGATCACCCGTAAAGTAAGGGAGGCTATAGACTAAGAAGAGGCCTTCTTACGATCCCTCACCGAAAGGAATATCTTAGATATCGCTAGAATGACGAGACTCCCAGAAGAAGAGATTCGCGAACGAATTAACCATATGAGGATTATAGACCGAGCCGAGGCCGGAGTATAGGTAACTATACGCGCATATCGAGAACGAGGAATTTCAGTCCCACGATATATCGAAACTTTACCTAACGTACTTATCGCTAAACTATTCCCTTATAACCGCGTTCATAGTTACTCACTCCGATTAATTCCACACCTCCACGAATAGTATCTCGACTATTTACAGCCCGAGAAGCTAGGTATGACGGCTATTAAAGTATAATAGGCTCACACCGAGTTAATCCAACGTTGTGGCGACTATAACTACGACGTATCATAACCTTAAGATAAGAGAATAAATTACCTTCACTAGCTAAAAAACTAGGTTAGTGAGAGAATAAGGGGCATCTATACCACCGAAAGTATATTTCTAGAAAACGCTAGCGCTAGAAGACTAATAGTAAAGGCGTACATCTAGTTAGAATCAGAGAAGAAAGGCGAAAGTTAAAACTTAAAGTGAATACGGTCATAAGGTCTAACGCTAGGGCTATATTCCTTAGAGGAATACTTAAAGACTAAGAAGTTAGTATCCTAATAGATTCAGAATATATAGGGAATCTCGTATACACGAGAATAGTAGAGAAGCTATAAGGCTAGAAAGTTCTAAGGCTAGAATCTAACTTAATTACTGGATTCGATGGAATAATTATAATATAACTTACGTACGAGCTAAAAGTAGTGCAACTAACGATCGACGATCACTAGGAAAGGCTAAATCTTGACATCATAGATATAAAATACGATATAGTTCTTAGAATACTATGGCTAAAATACCACAACTCTATTATCGACTAAACTAAATCCTAGATGCGGTTCGATAACTGCGACCACGACAATAAAATCCCAGAAATAGAAATGGGGGCGGTATAAACCTACGTAAAGAAAACGATCTAAGTACGACCAGCACGGATTTTTAATAACGCGACTATAGAATATTCACCATAATACGTATACTTAAAATTAGTATTCGAAAAAAGAATAGAAACTAATACACTACCGAAACATAAGCCATGGGACTATGAAATCCACTTATAGAAGGGAAAATAACCTATATTCGGACCTCTCTAC